AGCAACCTGCTGATTAATTTACTATGCTGCCCTGGTAGACAACTAGTGTAACCACACCAATCGAGTTTAAAAAAAACTTTATTTAAAACTTCTTATGATGACATCTATCAAGGTTCGTGGTACACGTAACATTCATTGATACATTGACGTAATGGTAAATTACTGCAAATACAAAATATAAAGGAATAAGTAGGAGCTACATTAACAAACTTGTGTTAAAACAGATGCGTTCTTAACTAGTTAAACTGATATCGTTACAGATAAATGTTATTAAATGTTCGTAAATGTCTCTTGTAAGTTGTACTATTTTTAGACCGGAAGTTAATCTGTAATAAACACAAGTCAATAGAAAATGCTTTAATTTTAGTATAAACTTCTCTATAATGTGCCAAACGAATTTACATCCAGTATTTGTATTGTTATTTACACTTACATCGTGAGTCTGCTCAGTTTAGAAAGCTTTTAAATTCGTATTCACAATTTGTGGAGCACAAAATGTCCCGCGGGTTCCGCGTGATCAATAACAATGGGTTCGAACAAAGGGAGACCACTAGCATCGACAGATTTTACACGTCTAAACTAACACGAGGAATCAACCACGGTGTAGGGGGAGTAACTCGCGCTACTCTGCCATCACAGTGTACATATATATATAATTAACGTTTAACATGTCGTGCAAAATGGGTGTTTGACAACCGCTCAAATAGCATTAACATAGAGCGAGTTTTAAAAAAGAATACCAAATGATATTTTGCCGGACTGAGAAATGATATCATACTCACCTCAGTTTACATAAAGAAATAGTCAATATGTCCTCTGTCTTGGTTGTAAGCGCCTTCTCACCCAGAAATAGAATACACGTATCTTATTTTTTTCTAAGTCTTTTCCTGCTAATTTGCCTGAACTATATCCGTCAATTCATTTTCCGTAAAACGTTTCGTCTGTCCTCATAAACCTTTTGCGAGAGACTGTATATACCAGATGGCGCCACTATTTTTTTTTTTTTTTTTTTTAATAAATTTTAAATAAAATGAACAGAAATAAGATATCTATTAATACAGTGATAAATAGTATTTTCGTTTTTCCTAGGCTACCACATTATAGATAGAAATTATTTAATAAACAATACAGTTAACAATTTGTAAATTTCATATGTCATGCTTCAATTTTTAACTATTACGCTCGCTGGATAAATTGAAATAAAATATTACATGCGAATAACTAGAAGGTGCAGAAAAACTGAAAAAAAACTATTCCTAAATGTAACCGTGCAAATACTTTAAATTGTATCTTTAATTACATGTATGTTTTTGGAAATATTTTGGGATATACATAGTAATGAATAATCAGTTTTCAACTATACTATTCAAAAAAAGTAGGGGATATTTGATTTTGGGGGCATAATACTAAAATATGCAAATGACTACGAAAAAAGTCACTATAGAACCTAACAGAAGAAACATTTCCAGTTACATGTGACGCCCAAACGCACCAATAGCTACCGCATGGAATGCAGGTGATGCTTGGGATCATCATGGGGGTCCAACCCAAGATTTGCACGACTCTGACTTTGAATGTTACAGTCATTGTGGCATTGAATTCCAGGGTGGAAACATCAGTTTAATTGTTTTAGTGACCAGAAAACAAATTTTGATATGCGTCGGCTTACCCAAAATGAAAGGTTACGTGCCCTTGGCATGCTACAGATCGGCACAACACAGGCGGTTGTGGCGCGGACGATGAATGTTTCTCAGTCTGTCATAAGCAGGCTATGGTCCAGATACCGTGATACACAATCTGTACAGGACAGACCACGCTCAGGTCGACCAAGGGCGACAACTCAAGCCCAGGATCGATTTATCCGTACCTTGGCCTTGAGAAATCGTGTCATCACAGCAAATCAGATCAGCACTCGTCTTCAAACAGACACTGGTGTGAGAGTGAGTGGCCAGACGATTCGGAATCGACTGCATAGGGGTCACCTTCGCGCCCGACGTCCTCGCGTGATCCCTTGTTTGAGAGATCATCACATTCAGGTAAGACGTCGTTGGTGTAGGGATCGTCAACACTGGGATAATCGACGCTGGAGCAATGTGATGTTTTCAGATGAGTCAAGGTTCACTGTTGATTTTTTGGACAGACGTAGGAGGGTGTGGCGTCGTCGAAACGAGCGCTTCCAAGACGTTAACGTCATCAGACATGATCGATTTGGGGGTGGTTCTGTTATGGTGTGGGGAGGCATCACTGTTGCTGGAAGAACGGCTTTACATGTTGTTGCAGGGCGTGTTACAGGCCAGTACTACCGGGACAACATCTTGGCAGTCCATGTTGTGCCGTTCGCACGACGTCATGGCCGCCGTTTCATCTTCCAGGATGACAACGCAAGATTTCACAGGGCCAGGATCGTTACAGGTTACCTCCAACAACAGAACATCACCACATTACCTTGGCCAGCACTGAGTCCCGACCTCTCCCCCATCGAGCATGTCTGGGACATGCTTGGACAGAGGTTACGTCAACGTCAACAACGTCCTGCCAATGTCCAAGAACTTGCTGCTGCGTTGCAACAGGAATGGGACAATCTGGACCAAAATGACCTTAGACGTCTCATTAGGAGTATGCCACGTCGGATCAATGCTTGTTTGGCAAACAGAGGAGGATTTACCCGTTACTGACTTGGTTGTGATGCTGTGGTAACTTTGCTGTTTGACCCCGGGTATCATTTTACCCTTATAATGGTCAGTCTGTACCTTACTTAGTCTAACGATCATTTGGAATAAATCGATGAATGTGAACTTCATTTCATTTTGTCATTTGTTTCTTCGTGACTTTAATAACACTTAAAAATCAAATATCCCCTACTTTTTTTGAATAGTATATATTCAACGTACAATGAACTACTTTCAAGGACAATAATTACGCTATTCGAGTGAAACATGTTTAGGTCACGAGGAGGATGTATACAATATTCACACTTCCGGTGTCTATCTATGTATAAACTAATATAATATGTTGTTTTGACACATACAGTGTAAATTTAGAAGATGGCATTTCGGAATGTGTATTCTAGGCTCATTATGGCATTTGACGGTCAACTCTGTGTAGAACCAGAAATATTTCCTATATAAACAGTAGGTAGATACTTGTCTGCGATATCACCTGTCATTTGTTTCTTCGTCAGTTTCATTAGGTGACTTTAATAACACTTAAAAATCAAATATCCCCTACTTTTTTTGAATAGTATATTATAATGCACATCCGTCATTTTATACAAAGATTTAGAACAGCTTGGCGGGTTTTCCTTGTATATTAATTTGTCGTCACAATGGGGTGCACAACACAGCCTTGGCAATAATTAGAGCGGACACAGCTGGGTTATCTTCAATAAATCAACCGCGTGAATAGTATTAAACAACATGTAAAATTCTAAGAAAACTTAATAATTAAGTTAAAAATAGACTTCGGTTTATCATCGGAAAAATCAGCAGGTTTATGTGCAATCTCAAACTATGGAAGCCTGTTCAGGCCATCTTTATAATTTAATTTCGAAATTTCGGGCACACTCGCCTTCTATACACTAGATAGTGACATTTATATGCATACCCATTTTTTCAAAACATTTAAAAACGGCGCTTAATCTGCGAATTAGTTTTACTATAACCAGAACTGCTTTCAAACCGATAATAAATAAAGCACCAGCACTCACCAAAAAAAAACCTTCTGGCAACCAATTTTATACAATGTAAATATAATTCAAGGGAGCTTTGAAATGGTAGAATTACGGGTTATAATTTCAATAACAAGATGGACTCTAGCCTACAGAGTAATGACACAACACTCCAATATTTTTAAATTGTAATAGTATGAGATCGACTTTCAACAAGTATAGAAGTGGTGAGATCTTAAATAGTTTAATATTATTGAAAAAAAAAATAATACGTTGATTCAAGTGAATGCTATCTTACAAAATTATGATCGAAATGTAAAGAAAGAATATATTACATAAATCTTTTCTGTTACAGTATCTGTATCAAGTTTGACAACCGCTCATTTTGCGATAGAAAGTCAGATCTTTTCTGTTGGAGAGAATATCCTTCTGGATGGATATTTGTTTACCTTAAAAAATGTGATAATTTAATATTAATCTACACTGCATTAATCCCGTGAGGCGTTCCAATTTTAAAAGACATTTGAAATGATCGCCCACGTACGTAACTAACGTTCGAAAACTAATTAGTAACTAGCTTATTTGCAGGTAGGGTGGGTGTGTTGCTCAGATTGGATCGCCCCAGGGCTTTTGTTAGCCCCGCTACACTTAAATTTCCACAAAACCGAAAAGCATCCCTCATGAATATTAATTGTTTACCTTAAAAGATGACACCGCTTTCATATTACAGTAGGAGCCACGGTGGCTAGGTGGTTAAGACGCTAGCTCGCTAGCCTGGAGGTCGGGTGTTCGATCCCTGCATTGGCCGAGAAAGTGCATCTGGATTTTCCGACGTGGTTTCCCCTTGTCAGTGGTGAAGAACGGAGGGCCTGACAAGGACAGCTGTCTAGTCTTTCGGGTGCGACGAAAAACCGAGGTCCCGCGTATACATTGGAATGCACGTAAAAGATCCCTTGGCAGTTGGAATTCGATATAAGAGTAGGCGATAGTGCCGCTGCCCGGGAAAAATTTCCCTCATAGCACACTGTATGGCGTATGCCCGTCTTCATTAGCCCAGTATAGGAGCAGAACAGTAGGACGTTAAACCCCATTTAATTTCATTTCATTTCATATTACAGTGATATATGATCATGTGTCAGGCCACAAATTCATCGTTTCGAGTCAAGTTGCAATAAATCTGTCGGAAGACTATCTTCCAAATGTATGTTGTACTACGAACATGGGGAGGAGAAATGATTATTATGATAATTCATACATATATTTTAATTGCACTGTAGTCATCGTTGTGTAATAAACAATGTTTGGGGTAGGGGGGATAATTATTATGAAAACCAATAATTTTAATCACATTTAGGTCTGAACAGCTTAAAGACAGCATCAGAAAGTGGGCTTTGATTTAAAACTACGCTTTCTCTCATTCCAAATATATTTTCTCTGGCTTATTAAAGCGGAAATTGCAAATTTTCTAAGAAAGTCAAAACGTAATTATTTCCATGTCTTTTGCTCAATAGGTTGTCAACTCACAATAATACGATCATAGGTGTCATTCTCACTCGTTTACGCCGGAAATAATAACACAATTACCTCCCAATTACCTCCCTTGTTTTCTATTCTCCACCATGGAGTAGCGATATTCAAACGTTTGAAAATGAAGAGGAAAATGATATTTTTGCCAATTTCTCAGCTGGCAATAGTGAATTATAGGATTAATAGGATTATTCTTTAACAAGGTAGGACTGTTTATGGATACCATCTATTTTCAGGCTTTATTTTAATAAATTTTAAAATTATAACTTAAAAATTTGCAATTTCCGCTTTAAACATTTGGACAAACATCTTAAAAACGAGTTTTCGTGGAAAGATTTAATATTTGCCATGAACAATGGTTGTATACACGTGGCCTCTAACATCACCTTAAAGAAAACAATAGGCACGACTACACAGTTTCTTTAATATCATATCTACCGTTATTAAATACATGTTTTAGCTATTATTGTATTAACTATTACCCAATACAACCCAATACTAAGTAAAAGGACTATATTACAAGTATTAATAATTATATATATATATACATGTAGATAAAGGATATTTACAATTATTAACTATTTTCAAACATCAAAACACATGTTGTTTGCAGTTATTAAATATTATTGAATATATGTACATGTGTATTGTTTGCAATTATTAAAGATACATTAGTTAAGAGTTTTGTAAAGAGTTGGCCATTCTTGCTATAATAATTCAAAAATTGATGATAAAATAAGAAAATGTTGAAAGTTTCAGTCAAATTACTTGCTTAATGGTTATGGTAGCCTCGCTTGGCAGACCCTTCATCACCAGTTTCCGGTAGTGACATCGGCGACTAACGGTAAACGTTAGCTTTGTCCGCGAATTATTGATTTAATTTTAATTGGACGACTGTTTAAATCCAAACAGCTGTGGGTCTACAGACTTAATTTTGAGCTTGTCGTGTAAGTAAAGGTCTAATTAATAATCTCTATAACATCTGAAGTCTAATAAAGACTTGCACTAGGCAGATTTTGCTCTTTTATAATGTATCTTTAAATTCTATTAATTACCAATCCATGAATACACTGTATTCTTTTTTTTTCTTTTTTTTTTGCCGTTATTAAATATTATTTTAAAAAATAATACATAAGAGTATAATATAATTTGTGGGTGTTATCCATATCTATTACTTACTGAGCGTTATTGATAAACAGTTGCGAAAACCGCCATTGCCTTCCTATCCTTTAAAACATATTTTGGGATGTAAAGACCTTTAAAGTAGAAATCCCAGATAAATATCAATGAATGAAACTGGTTAGTCCCAATCCTAGCAAAATTTACGTCATACTGTATGACGTATGCCCGTGTTCATTATACCTGTTGGTGCAGAAAAGTTAGATGTTAAACCCAGTTTCAAATCATTTTCTGCTAAAATTTTACAAGTGATCGCCATCACAGACAGGCCTACTTGTGGTTTCGGAAATGCATTCAAACAAGGACTGATTTAGGGTGTTACTTTTTCAGGGTTTAAGTACATGTATCATTATTATGTAAGTTAATTAATGAATACATATTTGACGAAACCACATTTATATTGGAACTCATATGGAATATAACGGATATAATTCCACAATATACTAAGTTTCATTAATATCGGATAAAACACATACACAACCTGGTTTTGCTAAACAATAATTACTGATGAATCTACTTGAGGAGGTATCAAATTAAAAAAAAAATCTGCCGGATCAGACTTAGTTATAAGCCAAATTGACGCTAGAGACCTAGAATTAACGTTGCCAGGGGGACGTGCTCCGAGGAAATTTCCTTAAAAAGGATCCGCAACAAACGCAAACTATACAAGCATCCATAAACTCTCCAAATTGCCATATCAAAATGTGTGTACTTTTGCAAAAGAACAGACTTTGAAAAATCTTAATCAGCATTAATAGCTTTTGTAAGACTGTCCCAAAAGACAATATTACCCTCGGGATCATCAGTATATTCTACATAAGAATCCTTTCTCATTAGCTGAATGAGCTCGTGCGGTAAATCTTTAACGGGAATATGTTCGTAAATTATAACAATTACAACATTTCTGCCAGTGCTAATACTTTCCATTAAAGCCATATTCAATTCATAGATGCACCAATAACTCTTCAGAAAATTCTTCGTCAACAGAATCAGAGTTTTCTTACTGTTTCTCACTGCGTTGGATATATTAGCAGCAATTACCTCCCCTACCAAGAAATCACGGTGGTGAATACAGAGTTGCATTCCTTGTTGCGTTTCAAGCTTTTCAATCATGTCTGTAACGACAATCCGCCGATCTTCGTCCGCATAGGAAATAAAAGCATTGAAGTCAAACTGGTTATCAAGATCATTAGCAAGAGCAGCATACTGACGGTATTTGTTACGCCTTACATAATAAAGATATCGGAGTTTCCAGCGATATCTATATATTACACTAGATACCATAACCGTAATAATTATTGCCATGCTGCTGGTCAATACAACAATCATAACTGTCCACGAGGCACATTCCTTTTCTAGGTTTAGAACTATCGCCTTCAGGTCGTTCAATTGGATCATTTTTCCGTGCAGGTTTTCACAGGTGTATTCATTTCTTCTGACGAAATTGGTTGTGTTAGTTTCCATCCATTTTAAGAAATCGAGGTTTTGACAAGTACAGAGCAGAGTCTGACCGAGCAAGTTTATCGTCAAAATTGTCCCCTTTGCCTTTTGCAGATCACCAAATTTCCTTAAAGACAGTGGAAGAGTAGATAAACTGTTGTTGCCAAGATCGATGAATGTTAAGTAGTTCATGTGATCAATATCCAACGTCCATTGCTTCATTCTGTTGTTGGATAAATCTAAATATTTTAATTTTATCTGCGCGTGTAGAAATACCGATGGTAGAACCGTTATTTGATTGTCAGATATATCCAATATTTCCAGCTTACTTAATGGTTTAAATATACTTCCACTGATGTCAGATGCAAAGGTAAAACTTAAAAAATTTGAACCAATGTATAAAGAAAGAAGATTAATTGATCCCTTAAAAAAATCTTCATTTATTTCGTCACAGAAGTTGTTGGACAAGCTGAGCCATTCCAGGCTGGTAATTCCCAAAATTGGACCATGCCATTTATTTACAATGTTTGATGAGAAATCAAGAATTTTCACTCGGTTTGTAGCAAACGTCATTCGTGGAATGGTACATCCAAGTTTCATGTGACTTACATTAATGTACTGTATGTTAGGTGAAACTCCGATTATATATTGATCCCTTTCCTCCTCGCTTTTAGTCAACCAACTCAAAAGTGAAATATGTGTATCGGTATCCGAAACCTGATCTTCTATGAGATCACTGTCGTCGTGAGGGTGCTTATTTGACAAGTGATGGATGATTGTCTCATTAAAATACGGACAGTTGTTGTGGAAATAATGTCTGTCGGGTATTATATCGCAACTTTCATAAACAGGGGTCATTGGAAGATGTGAAAAGTACTGATAACTGGCATCAATACATATAATATTTTTTAAAACATTGAATTCTAACATATAAGTCCCAAATATCGGTATATTATCCGTAATACTTACTATTTTAATAGTAGACGATAGGTTATAAGGAACTCCATCTTCAAAGAGTTGAATCCTGTTGTGATCTAGATAGAGTTCCGTGATGTTAAGATGCTTGAACCTATAAACTTGATCTGAAGTTACTTCAGTCCCGAGACCAAAGGTTTCGTAAATGCAACTTATATTGAGAATGCGAAAGGCTGCACTATTTAAGTTTTTTAAAGGCAAAGTTGCGGCATCAAATCCAAGTTTCCTGTTACCAGAAAGGTCGAGAAATTGTAATTTCGAAAACATGCTGAAGGCAAAACTATCAATTTGTGTGATTTGACAGTTACTCAGCACTAGTATTTCTATGTTAGGGACGTTGGTAAAAGAATTGTTTGTAATATTTTGGGTGTTACAGTTACCTGTAAAATTTAGGAATTTAAGGTTTGTAAGATTTGAAAAACCTTTTCCAAGAGTTATACCGGGTAAGCCATCCAACTTTAAAGTTTCAAGGGACCACAAAGTCGAGAAGCTTTCATTTGGATATTCCACGATAGATCCTGCATTGTTTGAAGAGATGTCCAGAGTTTGGAGATTTACAAGAGAATTAAACACTCCAATCGGATAGTTTTCAGGTTCCATATTAATATTGTTGCTGTGAAGGTCCAGTGTGATCAGAGTGTCCAATCCAAAAAAACTAAAACGATTTAACCGTGTTATACGATTGTTGGAAATATCTAGAAAGGAAAGTTTGCTTCCGTTAAATGTATAATCTGTTATATTTTCAATTAAATTGTCTTGAAGGATTAGCCAAGTTGTGTTTTCTGGTACATTAGGTGGAATTTCTTTTAATGAACGGCTAGAACAATCCACTATAATACCGGTTAGTCCCTCTTTGCTTCGACATTCACAAATTTTACACAACTGCGACTCAAATTGTACAGTTCCACCAGTTAAAGATGTCCAGACATTAAATATTAATATACACTGTAACAGCGTCATTCTAAATAAAAGATATAAAAACAAATCAAGGCGTAATACACACATCAATAGCTTTGGCAAGGACACCTTAAGATCTTTTTCTCAAAGGCTTATTTATATATGGATGTTTCATTAAAATTACATTTAGTCCGAAGATTATATTCTAACGATAATTGTGTCCAGATATTCAGATCCACGCCATCCAAGATAAGTACGTTAAGTATAAAAAAGGTCACCCAATCCCAATGCATCACACCAAATTTAGTTTGCGCAAGTTCTTTTAGCTCTATTCATTGGTTTCTTAATTTATATAACATAATAATATAATAACATATAGCCGATAGTGTTTCACGGGAGTATTCCACCTAAATACACACAGGGCCCTCACATGGGGGGTGGGGTTGAAAGGGGCAGGGGCATATACGGGGGGGGGGGGGTAATTATCTAAGTGCATACCAGAAATATTTATGAGATAGCAAACCACCGACCAACGCTTCCCCTAAACCTGTGTGAACCGGTTCATATTTCAGCAAATAGAGAGGGTATAATAGGGGTTTCCGATCAAATGGAAGTTTGAAGGGGAAATAAACATAAAAGTTTACATATAAGTTGAAATGATAAATAGTAGATAAAGTGTTAAAAGTATAAGTATAGAAAAATAAACTAAGCATCTACATAATGCAGGAGGGGGGGGGGGGGGCGTCACTGAAGCTTTTGTCGTGGGCCGCCACATAGGGTGGCGTGGGCACTGAATACACATAGACCAATGAAAGATTTCGATTGATTACGGAAAAACTGATGTAATATGTTTTATACGACACGACCTTACATAAAAGTAAAAGAAACCAACAACAATTTAAAATCTAATTTTATTAAAATAATGGTATTAACAGTATATTCTAACCTGATTCAGTAGCTTGATTATAAGACCACCATTCAATATATAACAGTTCCCGGCTGCTTTGTGATTTTGTGTCTTATTTTGAACATACTCAAAACTATATAAGTAGATAGGGCACAAATGTCGTAACCAGCCTGTGAAACTCGGGTTTTCCTTTGTTTACACAACCTGGATCACATGTCATGCGATTCATACTACATGGGACAAGGCTATGTATTGTTTAATGGTCGAGAGCGAGACATTAAGTAATATATTGTAACAACATGAGGGCCGTAGGCCCGAATGTTTTTACAATATATACTATTCAAAAAAAGTAGGGGATATTTGATTTTTAAGTGTTATTAAAGTCACCTAATGAAACTGACGAAGAAACAAATGACAAAATGAAATGAAGTTCACATTCATCGATTTATTCCAAATGATCGTTAGACTAAGTGAGGCACAGACTGACCATTATAAGGGTAAAATGATACCCGGGGTCAAACAGCAAAGTTACCACAGCATCACAACCAAGTCAGTAACGGGTAAATCCTCCTCTGTGTGCCAAACAAGCATTGATCCGACGTGGCATACTCCTAATAAGACGTCCAAGGTCATTTTGGTCCAGATTGTCCCATTCCTGTTGCAACGCAGCAGCATGTTCTTGGACATTGGCAGGACGTTGTTGACGTTGACGTAACCTCTGTCCAAGCATGTCCCAGACATGCTCGATGGGGAGAGGTCGGGACTCAGTGCTGGCCAAGGTAATGTGGTGATGTTCTGTTGTTGGAGGTAACCTGTAACGATCCTGGCCCTGTGACATCTTGCGTTGTCATCCTGTAAGATGAAACGGCGGCCATGACGTCGTGCGAACGGCACAACATGGACTGCCAAGATGTTGTCCCGGTAGTACTGGCCTGTAACACGCCCTGCAACAACATGTAAAGCCGTTCTTCCAGCAACAGTGATGCCTCATCACACCATAACAGAACCACCCCCAAATCGATCATGTCTGATGACGTTAACGTCTTGGAAGCGCTCGTTTCGACGACGCCACACCCTCCTACGTCTGTCCAAAAAATCAACAGTGAACCTTGACTCATCTGAAAACATCACATTGCTCCAGCGTCGATTATCCCAGTGTTGACGATCCCTACACCAACGACGTCTTGCCTGAATGTGATGACCTCTCAAACAAGGGATCACGCGAGGACGTCGGGCGCGAAGGTGACCCCTATGCAGTCGATTCCGAATCGTCTGGCCACTCACTCTCACACCAGTGTCTGTTTGAAGACGAGCGCTGATCTGATTTGCTGTGATGACACGATTTCTCAAGGCCAAGGTACGGATAAATAGATCCTGGGCTTGAGTTGTCGCCCTTGGTCGACCTGAGCGTGGTCTGTCCTGTACAGATTGTGTATCACGGTATCTGGACCATAGCCTGCTTATGACAGACTGAGAAACATGCATCGTCCGCGCCACAACCGCCTGTGTTGTGCCGATCTGTAGCATGCCAAGGGCACGTAACCTTTCATTTTGGGTAAGCCGACGCATATCAAAATTTGTTTTCTGGTCACTAAAACAATTAAACTAATGTTTCCACCCTAGAATTCAATGCCACAATGACTGTAACATTCAAAGTCAGAGTCGTGCAAATCTTGGGTTGGACCCCCATGATGATCCCAAGCATCACCTGCATTCCATGCGGTAGCTATTGGTGCGTTTGGGCGTCACATGTAACTGGAAATGTTTCTTCTGTTAGGTTCTATAGTGACTTTTTTTGTAGTCATTTGCATATTTTAGTATTATGCCCCCAAAATCAAATATCCCCTACTTTTTTTGAATAGTATATTACGCAATGTCGTAAGCTCGAGACCATTAAACATCTTAAAATACTGACACCCAGCACGAGCTTTTACGTCACATTAGTCCAATATCTCACTGGTTTGAATAAAGTACTATTGGCAAGTTGCCCGTACGATTATTTGAAATAATGGTACGCCAACATCAAAGGGTGGCGTCACATCTGTATTTTAATTAGAAATAGTAATTGCCATCATTATAAAATTAAACAAATTTTCAGCTTTTTATTTAAAATCATTATTATTAGTGTTGAATACTATCAAATTATATACAAAAAAATCTATTTATGTACGTGTATAGTTGGTGAATTAGATACTTTTCATATATGTCTGTATGGCATCTGTCAGGACGTTAAATCTCATTTCATTTCATATGCATACATTTTCAGAAACAGCGGAATATGACTATTGACACTAAGGTTAACATACAGAAAGTGTTGATATGCAGTCAGGACAAAATATATCATGTTGAATATATCCAGTCAAAATTAATCAAATACAAATCGTGCCTTCATCATAGTTTTATTCAACGGTAACAATGCATTAAGTCGAATAATTATTTTACTATATGAACATACGGGGTGTCCCCGGCTTAGATCTCTTAGTTTGCTCATTGCTATTTATTTAATGATTATGAATGGAATGGGATTTTACGAAGGCCCATTTACAAGTCTCTGTTTAGCGAGTGGTGTCTCTCGGCCTCTAAACAAAAAGAGACAAAGATCCAAAATTCCAAAGAGTAATTTCAGACACTTTTCAAATTGTCCTTACTCTAACAATACGCTTAGTCGTTGAGAGTACTATTATGTTAGTGGCTGTCACTTTGAAATATTGTCGGTCGGGTGGCCGAATGGTTAGCGCGCACGCGCTGTATCTTAAGGTCTGTCATTGAGTCAACTGGCGTGGTTTCGATTCCCCGATTGTACGTGACAAGGAGTAGGGTAGCCTGTCCAACCTCGTGGGGTTTCTCCGGCTTCCTCTCACTGTTAAAGACACCTACGCGCAAGCGAATTATTGTATTGAAATACTGAACCATTTATTTAAATGACCTAGTTTGTGTCGAATGGACGTTAAACCCTATTTCTCTCTCTGTCTCTCTCCCCCACCCCTCTCTCTCTCTCTCTCTCTCTCTCTCACACACACACACACACACACACACACACTTTGAAGTATGAACAGCGAAAGGAATAATATATCCGTAATTCAGTAGCAGGATGTGTCAAAAGGGAAGATAAATCGCAGTATAAAAAATGTTAAAAACTGAATAATAGCATATACAGCACGCAAGACCAACTAAGCTGTGTCACACTTTCTGATAAATTGATAATGCCAGGACAAACTCCAAATACATGTTTTGAAAATAAAAATATAATGTGAACGAACTGGATTTATCTTTCAGAACTTAAACTTTTCAAATGAATTAACAAAACTTTGTACTTGAACAGTCTAATCTCCATAATAATTTTTAAAGTAACAAATTGTCCTGAAGCACCCCTGAAGACAATATCTTTAATTGCGAGGCATTTGAATGTATGTAATACTTTTATAACTTTATACTTAGGTTAGGTATATATTAATTATTCTTGATTTCCAAGTAATATTCCCGAAGACAGCTCATACCATTATCTTTTATTGTGAGTGATTTGAATTTATACATATATATATATGTAATACTTTTAGAAGTTATACATGAGTTAGTGTGTCTATATGAGTTAGTGTGTCTATAAGTTATACATGAGTTAGTGTGTCTATATGACAGATATATAAATAAAGATATTTTTCTATTTAAGTAAAAACCTGGGTAGAAAAATAACCGAAAACACAGAAACAGAAAAAATGTAAGATTTTTAGTTCCAGAAGATCATACATATTATTTCGTGATTTCTACTAGTCTGGGAATGTATATCTTTGGTCTAATTCGACTGTTTGCTATTGAAAAGGTGTGTAAAATAACCCCCACCAAATTACTTACTGCACTATTCTGACCTACATATATAATTCAGTTATTACGTATATATCTTATTCATCTGCATTAGGGCGAAGTGATCTCTGTGTGTCTCGATATTTCTATGCTTGTTATTTACCCAAATCCTGTTTAATAACAGAACAATATCTTACTATATATATATTATGTGTGTGTGTAAATGCAGTACGAATATAGTAAGATATTGTTCTGTTATTAAACAGGGTTTATATATTATATTATAGTATAAAATATAAAAATAACACCGATTTGCTTCTACATGTTTCAATGTAATTTCATCAGGAAGCCATTGATAACAGTGGTGGCGGTACATATAATATCTAAATTTCTTACAGATTTAAAGCCAGCCAAGGAATTTCTCATTTTGAGACAAAATGTTATTCAAGAAAATATAAAAAAGAAACAGTTTAAATGATCTAATAAAGGACATTTCAACTATATTCAAATGGTGTGGAATTGGGGGACAGAGTTAATGAGACAAATCTTTGAGAGTAAATTTCCCAAATTTGATTAGTGGAGCTGGACATGTATAGCAAGAACAATCTTGTAGTAAAACAATTCAGTTCAAGGTTAATTTTAAAAAATCATACAAATATAACAAAACATTTGTTGTTTTAAAGGAGGTGACGAGGCTATCTTTGACCGTCCCTAAAATAATGTCAAACAAAAGATTTGCAGGATCAAGGTCCACCAGACACGTCGATGGATGCTTTGAGAAATACGTTTGAGAAAGGTTGCAATATCTAGATATATCGTACAGTTATCCACCTTGCTTTAAGGTGAGACACCAACAGAGTGGTGTTATCCTTGTAATTGTTATTTATACTTTATAGTTATCCATATGTAGGGAATTATTAATGTACAGCAAACTATGTATAGGTTATTGAAAAAGAACAAAGTCATTATCCCCTCTATGTTGGAAGTAGAAAGTAAAAACACTACACCGTTTGAGCTTTTTTGTATGGACAGTCATATTTAGCAAAATGTCTAATATTCGTATACAAAAGAACTGTATACTTCTCAGCATCCAATATCCCCAGTGGTTGCCGTTCGAATTATTGACAATAATGAAAATTATCAGATCAGTTTTAGTTGCATCGATTTCGTATGTATTAAAAAAAATGCCATTTAATGTTTTTCCCTCTTTTACATATAACAGCCATTTTGAAATTTATATAATTTCGAGACCATTTATTATTTATCCGTGTCTTTTATTTCTTTGAATTCGATTCGAAAACACCTTTGAAATGATTTCGTTTATTATGCCGAGGGTATGAGCATTAATCCCACGGAGACTCGTACCCTACCGCTAGATCTATTTCTTAAGGTCACCTCCAGATTTGGTCAAAGGTCACGATATGTATAAAACAGGGCTAGCGTCAACCCTAGGCCTAGCCCTTATTTAAACCCTAACCCACAATCTCGTCAAAAATCGCGTGCCCCAAGCTTATTTACATCTCAGCGACCTTGACGAAATCTGGAGGTGACCTTAAGAAATAGATCTAGCGGTAGGGCACGGATAGAGCTTGCAAAGATTCCATTGCACAAACGCCGTATTTCGTATTTGACACTACATTAGGCGTTTCTTTGGTTCTTTGTACAGTGTCTACAAGCTGAACTCGTGATTTTACGTACAATCAGGGGCTATAATCCATGAAGTTACGGTCCGAAAATGACAATATCGAAAGGAAACGAGATCTTTTGAAGATAAATCTATTTCAAGTTTCATCAAAATCGGATAAAAATTGTGACCTGTTGAGTGTCCACACAAACTGTGGACGGACGACGCATGGTCGTCCGGGCGGACAGAGGCGACGACAATGTACTTCCACATGAAAATGTGGACGTATAAAACAGTTGGCACCTAAATTGCTGGAGGGAATTTACTATTAATTTATACAGCATCAATCCCGTGAGGCGTTCCAATATTAGACGACGTTTGAAATGATCGCCCATTTCTTTTGTTTGTCCGTCTGTTCTGACAGTCAAATAATTTGGACAGTGTTATATTACGAAATAAATAATGGTTGGAAATTGTAAATCTGGCTTCAGAAATAAACTTTAATCTTGCAATTCTCAATGCAATATCCAATTACAACATTGCCGGTGAAAATTAAGTTCTCAAAATCGCAAAAAAAAAAACCTTACCACACATCAATTGTCTCCAACACACAGAACTGAATTCGACACGTCGCATTTAGAAAGCTAGGGACTTTAAAATGCCATGGTTGACACCTAATGTCCGTGAATAGGCATTGAGTACCGGGGCGACTGGAAGCAGCATTGCAATGAGAGTGGAAAAGGGTCACAATAACAAATTCCATCCAGAAGTTTATCTCTTCCACCATGTCACGATATTACATGACCCGTGGAACTGTTAGAGGTGGACACACACATTACCCATTAAAAATTTGATTTTAGCACAGAAAGAAAACACAAGCTAACCCAAGGTACAATTTTATGGATACACAATTACTGAGTTTAATACTAAGCGACGTTTCGACGAGGATACTCTCATTTGCTTGATAAAGACGAGAGTATCCTCGTGGAAACGTCCCTTAGTATTAAACTCAGTAATTGTGTATCTATAAAATTGTACCTTGGGTTAATATGTTCAATTACTAAATGCCAAAGAAGAAGAAGAAGAAAAAAAAAACCCCACAACCTATTAGTATTTTTATGAATTTTAATTAGGTGCATTTTATACAATTAATCACTCTTGCATAACCAGCTGATAAGCACTGAAATCACAGCTTTATAGAAATAATAATAATAATAAAAAAAACCCCATCAGATTTACAAATGAACAGTAGTAAAATACATAACAATTTAGAAAGAAACATGAACAAAATTAACAAGAACACACATTAATAACTGACAATATATTATTATAATATTTAAAATAAAGTAAAAGTAGCTCTCATGATGTGGTTATTTTGTTCAAGTTTTGATGTATCTTTTTATTTTGAAAGATCTGAGAATACAGCATTAACAGAGGATATGTACAAACATAATATGAAAGGATATAACTTTGTGCTGCTTTTATTTTTATATCAAGCAAAATCTATGAAGCCAATAAGTTGGTTTTCTGTTCCATATTTTAAGATGATGAATAAAACACAGAAAACTTCAATAAAATCTGTATTAATAAATAGCAAGTGAAAGTAGAGAGGTTTTTTTTTGTTTTTTTATGTGGATATTATTTTGATAATGCGTTAAATTTTGTCATAAATATTGCAAGCGAAAGTAGAGAAGGTTTTTTTTTTGTTGAATTAACAAGTACATAATATACAATGCATTAAATTTGGTCATAATAAACTATCAAGGAAAAGTAGAGAAGAATTTTGCTGAAACAAGTACACTTTAGACAATGCATTGAATTATCTACAAAATAAAATATTATGCATATTATAATACTTTATTTTGTAAAATAAAATTAAATCAATAACAGTAATTACTGCACCAGGTGATCTAAGCTGTCTTATCACATATTGAAGGCCACTGAAATTTATAACAGTTAACATATAATAAATTTAAGGTCTCCAATCACCCTTTTGAATTTCTAGAGATTATTCAATAGCCACAATTTATCAATAATTTTCTGCACCAATTGTTATAAAATGTACAAATTTGTGACATGAGATTTCAATCTAAAGGTAAATAACCTGATATTTAGGGATACTTTAATTTTCTTGTATGAATATGCAGGTTATAGATTATGCATGTACGTATATAATAATAATAAATAATTCTCAATTTGTATATTCTGTTATCAAATATAAAATAAGAGGAAATATCAGCAGTGAATAAGAAGTACCTATATATTTAACTATCACAATGTTGAAATATATTAAGAGAGTTTTTTCAACAAACACTCTCAAGTTCAACATAATTAATTAGGTTCTGCAAATTGTGGTTAAATTTGCTTTGACTTTTTTCAACCAATAAATCTTTATTTTAGGTTTATCTTTTGACTGAGAAATAAGCCCATTTTTATTCATGCAAATCAAGAGGCTAAGCAAAGCTTACAATATATTAAGTTATATTAAAAGGTAAAGGCAGCAATGAGCTTGAGTAAGCAAATATACAAAAACATACATATATTGTACAACATAGTTTGAAAAAAAAACCACATGCTATGCAAAATGCAATCACAAAAATCAATACATTAATGCTCGCTTCACCACCGACAAAAACCTATCTTAAGTAGCTGTGACTTACCCAACTCGGGGGTAATGCTTGTTTGAGTCAGAATTTCAATCTAAACATAGATAATGTGTGTAAATGTGATATATAAAAAACCCTTTGAAGGATATGACAATTTATTTCTCTCTGCAAAATGTGGTGTATACAGCGATCAGTTAGGTATTTTTTTTGTTAGCATGAAAACGGATACCTAACCTTGACATACAAGTCTATCAGGTTGAATAATATAGACTTGGTTTTCAAGAACAGTTTGCAAAGTGTCTACTAATAACCTGATATAAGTTGAGCTCAGAAAAACTTAACTTGATTAAAAGATAGCTACGCAAATGTTTCAACAGCAGCTTATCTGAAAGGAAAACTTGGATGTTGACCAAATTTGATAAGGTTCTAGGATCATTAAAGAAATCTAATCTCTTAAATGTGTGTGTATAAACTAACAACATTTCCTACTTAAGTAACACTTAATGGTAGCTTAGCAATGTGGAGGATGAATGGTTGTGACGGACTTGAACAAGCTGCTGGTTATGAAGAGAGCATAAATAGTAATTAAATAAACAATTCTATCTACTAGTAATCAAATAATAACATTACATGGATCTCTAGTATAAATAATAGTGAACATGCAGGCCCTGAGTTTTAAGGTTCATGTACTAATATAGTAGTCATCAATTTGGGAGCACATCAACACAGGTTTATAAGGTGGAAGAAATAAGATGGTACCAACTCCCAAGCTTTGACTATAAATGTATTCAATGATCATGCTCTATTCCTTTACACTCGAAAGAAAACAATCCACGAAAATTAAGGAAGATGTTAAAAGCATAAAGTTGATCATTGAAAGTACAATCCGATTAAAACACAGATCCAATTTCGTTTCGTTTTTATAGTTCAAAATTTTGATTTTACTTGTCTTTACTACACTTGGATCTGGAAGCGTTGTTATTTAACTCGTGTTCTGCTTGAAATGAGGGGTCAGCCAATCAAATGGTCTGTCGAATCGAGCGTTTCACCTTTTTTGCGCGGAACTGTGGGTAGACATTAGCGGCAATAGAAATCAAAACAAAGCAAAAGTAGATAAAAAAATACATGGCGGTCGCTAATTGGTTAATCGATTGACTGACGTAATCGGGTCAAATGTCGCTTGCTTGGTACCTGACGTCATAGAACGTGAACTTCCACTATAACATGTTAGATCTACATGTAGTATAGGTCATTGAAAGTATAAAAAACGAAACGAAATATAGATCTTTATTTTAATTAGATTGTTGAAAGTATGATAGCTGTCTGAGATTGGAAAATAGAAAAGAATAAACTTCAACATCTTGTCCATGCACTACTTTAGTTTTTCCGAGACTAACACATATGGCAATTTCACATTTTTACATTTGTAATGTGAGGGCATATTATGGCAATCATCCGAGTCTAATTAAACCAAACTTTTGTTTATTTTTCATTAAGTATATATTTACACTGTCATTACAGTAAGTTTGTGTTCAACTGACCTCACTTTACCCCTTATTTAGCCAATGAAAAGATGCCTGTCTTTGGCAATAAATGTTTTATCCAATCACATTGGCACAAATTAGACTTCAAAGAAAACAGTCAAGAAGTAGTTAGATCTTGCGTAGATTTGATTAACAATATGTCGAAGGTGAATGGAAATAAAGATCTAACTTTAATTAGACAGCAATTCCCCCTACTTGAATCTTGTGTTCCAAATGCATGACTGATATTATTAGTTGATAAAAAGTTAAAATCCATTATCAATTTCTTTTAGCATGTCTCTCAATTATAGACAGTTATCATTTTATACACATAATCCTTCAAACAATGTAATGATGAGCAAGACAACACTTATTAGGCCTCAACAGGGAAATTACTATCAGTTGTCTAACATCAGAAAATGATTGTAATTTATTGTCTCTATAAATTGTTCAAATGTAACACAATCATTTTATGATAAATAATTTTATGTTTTACAGCACTAATTGTTTCTTTCATAAATACATTTTTAAATAAAACAAACATTAAATCAAATTTACATTAAAATAAATAATTTGTATACCTAATGTATATACTAACTATAAATAAGATAATGATTCTGTTATATACTTTAATATTTGATAGTATGTGAAAACAATATATATAACACCCATATCTTAACCATTAATCATATTTCTTTATCATAAAAAAGTTCAAGTCTATAGCTAGTAATTATAACAGTATCATTCTATATTGGGAAAGAAATGGTGTATAATGTTTCATCAACACTAAGCTTTGAGAATTCTGAGATTAACATACAAATATTTTTGTATATGGTTATGTGTGCAATTCTTGGGAGAAGTTTGCTGGGACAGTAGTGTTTCATCTACTTTTCAAAGAATTTTAACGGTCAAGGGTTCTTTTATGTGCTCACCAACTTGTACATAGACAGAGCTTGGTATTTCAGTGAATCTGAACAACTTGGCAAGACTTTACTTGTCAGCGTCGCAGGCACTATATACCAATATCCTTGACATATGGGATCTAGATTCTTCTAAGACTGTTCCAGGATTACTGTAGTAGATATTTAGATATTACCATGGAGCTTATAATACATGGACTGGCAACGGCTTAATAACCTAACTAGAGATGTGTGCCGCACTGTAATTTGAGACACGTCACAGTAATTTGAGACGTGTCAATCACGACCAAACGAAAGTTGTTAACGAGTTATGGCCCTTCGCGGCGTCTGTAGTTACCTGGCATGTGTACTGATCCATTATGAGTATAATGGCTTACAGCACCTATAAATAAATCTGGAGCCGTCGGATGTTTATATTTTATTTAATAATATGCCAATAAAATTAAACTTATTTTAAACAAAATTTCTCACTTTTTCTATCTAAAGAAACTGGGCAAAACTGTGGGGAAGTTTGGGTCAAATCAAATACAGGTTTATTCATGATTGTTGAACAGTACATGCATTGGTATTTGAAAATATCACAAAACAAAATAATTTTTTAAAAATGTTAATATTTGTTTTAAAAAAAAGACAGTACAGTAGATAAGATATCAAAGTTTATGGAGAAAGGGATCATTAATTCCAAAAATAAATGTTTCACTGATTGAAAGCGAAAATAAAATCACATATTTTTTCATAAAATTGTCTAAAGTGTTATTTTCGTTGTTTTTAGAAAGTAATTAATTATATTTCACTTATTTAAAAATCGATAATTTTTTTTCCAAACAATGCCTTAGATTCATGTGTATCAGAATTATGTCAGAAAAATATGAAATAACAAATAGATTTTGATTGAAAGCAAAAATCACGACGCATGTTTTCGATTGTTCATATAACAACAAACAATGGCGACGTCTTTGTTTCGTAGATGCAGTCTACGTTTACTTTGAAGATGGTAATTACAAAGTTGTTTAAAATAAAATGTAAACACATATGCAACGGAAATTATAGTTAATGACTTATCTTGTCAAACAAAAGTTTATTTTAGCAGTTTTTGGTAAATTCAGGACACAAAACGGAACGATGAAAACGGGTGACTATAGCTAATTAGCAAAGACATTGAGTAATATCGCTATTGGCTTCTCTCATGTTTTCTCGAGGGAAATCTCGCGCGGCAGGCATTTAGCGATATTGCTTCTCGTAACCAGTCCATGTATTATAAGGTCCATGATATTACATGTATATATCAGATTTTTATGTCAAACTATTAAAATGTTCAAATATCTAATTAAATGGTCAAATATCTGATTCCAATATCTAATTAAATAGTCAAATATCTAATTAAGAAGTAAAAAGAATGTTACATGAACCAAAATAAAAATAGATAATAATTTAACCAATGTTACAAATATATTATTTTTTTTCAATGCACCAATACCAATTTTGAATGAAATAACAAAATTCATATTGTGTCATATCATCTCTGTTAATTGTGGATCATTTCGAGGAAATCAATTTTCTTGAAAGAAGAACCGAATATAATGATGACAGCACACTCAAATTTTAACTCCATCTGTGTCAATTAATACCACAAGTAATGTGAATACACATTTGTATCAGAAATTAAACGTGTAAATAGATACCACTTAACAAGGAACTTAAATGTATTTATATATTGTCATGTTTTTCTCGCAGTCCCAGATTATACATTTACACAACATGTCATATCAAACAAATGAACGGATAGAAATCACTATAATATGATACATCTATTAATAAAACACAGCTACATTCATTCATTGTCAGTGGAAAAATATCTATATTAAATAAACATTTGCTGTATTTACTCTATGTCATTTGTACCCTGTATATATAACATCTATATATAATAATGCAGATCTTGTTATTATTATACCATATAAAATTTCTAGGTTTATTTTTTTTTAAATTAGGAATACAATATTTGTTCCATACTCAAGCAGGCTATAAAATTTCAGGTGAACACTTAAAATCTACTAATGACCAAATTCGGGTTGGTTTCAAAATGGATTAAGAACCCCATTTTGAATAATACAAATGAAATGAAATGGTATGGGGTTAAACAACCTACAATTCTGCACTGAATGGACTAATAAAGATGATACAGAATATTTCCACTAGCAATGTTAAACATGCATTATGCAAGAGCTAAGTCTACCTATTTAGCCTTCTTTAGGCCTGAAATGTTATCTAAATTATCAATTAGACATTCATTAACTTATCAGGACCATAATCAACTCTCGATGCCATCGTTAGCCTGTGATATTTAGTGGATTTGAATATGTTTTTTGATGGATGATTTAACATAAAAATGGATAATTGAGACTTTTATTATCATACCAACCGTAGTAATGATGATCGAGGCTGCCTAAAATTGAATTGCTAATATCTTGGTTCAGACTGTAGCAATTTAACTGAAATTTTCAGCATATTCTGTTTTCATTATCTATTTTTTAACTGTTATAGCAAGAACTGACAGCTCTTTATCTAATCTTACCTAATGCCCCTTTAAATGAAACATAAATATATTTCAATGATTCCTGCGCTGGTTATTTAGTGATGTTATTTCATTTCCATATTACTTTCAATTCACTGCCATGAATTGAGATTGTTAACTATGCATATATTATCAACACTTAAAAATATTGAAATGCCAAACATCAACCTACAGAAACTTGCATAATCAATTTGTGCAATCCAAAGGTTATTGGACTCATTTGACAACAGCTAAGTTCAGGTAACACAAAATACTTTTTTATCGATTTCACCAACATCGAAAGTCATTCATAGAAAACTCTGAAATTTTAGAGCCTGTATTGTAAATAATTTGTGCATTTTTCTACGGCAAATAATTATAATAATAAATATGGGGAGTGAAGTATTAATGATTCAGTATAGATAGTGTCCAATATGGTACTAGTTATTTATTGGGTAGAGGTTTTAGTTTTTAAAAAAGGGGAATAACTCTAAATTATATATTGTTAGAATAAACCAAAAAAAAAAAGAAGTTTGCTACCGGTAATGAAAAATGTTAAAATACCTACTAAATTGTCTACAATTAATGACTATATTAATTATATCATTAATTAAAATTACTGAATGATAGAAATAAATTGAAGAAGAAACTGGGATTAATCCCTGAAAATCGTCCATGGAATTCAGAAATCTAGATCTACATTAAAACCTATTTCAAACATTGGTCAATTTCCAGTGCACCAGTAAATATTAATAATTTAAAGATTTTGCTGTTAAAGGAACATAATATCTCAGGATGCCCTTCTGTTTTATTTGTATTCTTCTGCCTAGAAATGATATTTGTTAAAGTTTTATTTTCTTCTGTTCTCTGATAGGAAGGTGTAGCTGAAGTGGATCACGTAAACGCTGTAAATCTAATTCGGCTAAAGCGATTGCATTCTTTAGTTGATTGTATTTATCTACATCTAGATGCTCCTTCTTAGCGGCCTTATAGAATTTCAGCAGGAATTGACGTTCTTTAACATCAACAAAATTATATTCCTGAAAAATTAATAGAAATTTTCATAAGTTAGCACCATAAAATAACCAAGAATGATATATAAACTATAAAAGTTCAGACAGAGATGGGAGTTATTCAGAGAAAGACCACATTAATATATTATGTCCACAGCCTAGTAGTCTACATGACCACAAGAAATTTGTAGATGAGCGAATAAACAATTCATCAAGTGTTTCATGAAGTGAGTTCACACAGGGATCAAAGCCATATCCTTTATTTTATTACACCAGCTTCACTATAGGGTTAGTAGGAAGCAATTCTTTTTTTTTTCCATGTGAGTTTATCTTCATATGGATGATAGTATCCATTTGTGTAGAAGGAAATATAACCCTGGTATAAAGCCTCTTATTGAAGTTAAAAGAGATTCTACACCTTGCAACTGGGTAGTAACAGTAGGGCTATATAATGATCCAAGTGAAAACCTGGATTACAATATATTGCAATGCAGAAATATGGTTTTCGAATTAAGATGACCATCCAAAGGCTTTTCATTTAAAATATATTTTACGTTCATTTACGTACAAACTATTTATCATAAACAGATATACAGTATATTAAAGAGCTTTTTGCAAAATAGATGGAAAAATTAAAGAGTATGGGTATATTCAATGTCTATTTATGGTTACAGTTGAAAATGGATTTCTATCACCATTAACCTTTCTTGTGTTCTAAAAATGACCTTGTATAGATCTAGAAGTAAACTGGTTGAATAATAAACATGAATCAATAATCAATACACCACAAGATTACAGCCCCATACTAATATAAATACTGATATATATATATACACGTATATATATATATAGGGTTTAATTAGTGTAGTATTGAACAGCTTAATTTACAGGACGGGAAATTAAGTCCGTACTATTGCTAAAATTCGCTGAAACAACAGACATGTTAATTATCATAAAAGACCCAGGAAAGTGCTAAGTGCTCTACATTAACTCGAATGTATAAAACCCAATAACCATAAAAAGCTCAATAACATCTACATATATACATGTACCCACCGATGTACATTTTGTACTCAGTAGATAGTGAGCAGCAAATTATGACTAGCTTTTTCTCTGCAATTTCCTGCTATTTTGACGGGTTATTTGTAATTACCGCAATACCAAAATAATGCAACTTGTACTAACAATTGGTAAATAAACACCCCATAAAAGTAATAATGAGAGGGAGAGAGAAATAGCATACAATTCAGGCAAAATGGGCAGAAATAAGCTCAGAAGACAGTGGACATATTGATCATTTATTTGTTGTTTATGTAAACTGTGGTGACTTCTCAGACCGGCAAAAGTTAGTTTGACATTCTTTTAAACCTGCGATTTAGGGCAAAATTGTCATACATCCATATTGAACAACATGTGAAATGTTAATGATGTACAATACTATTTTGAATTATTCCAATTTAAATAGTGTACTTATTTTTTCTGGGGCACCTGATATAGTTCACACACACACAAACACCCACATCTATTAAAAAGGGTTTAGATATTCAGCCAAAGCCAATAGTTGTAATGAATGACTGGATGTCCTAATTGTGACAATCTCTTTGAATTCTGAAGTAAATTGAAATGCACCATACCTGTTTACTAAGGACAAAATAGGCATACATAGCAATGGTTGTACCATATGTAACGAAATAAGTAACAGGTTCCATTATATCCCATGAGTACTCCCACCATGTCAATCTAGCTAACACGCCAAATTGCACTGCCATTAGACCTAACCCAGTCCATGTTAAAATATGTGTATATCGATTGGCTTGCTGAGCTAACTCGGTTTTTTTCTGAAAATATACAAATCAAAATTTTTACATTATACATACAGTACATTAAATGACTATTTTAACAGTTACTCAATTCAATGTAAAACGAGTAACTGTAATGACTTATTAGCTTGAAGATTGTACAAAAGTTTTTCACAATCATCTATTGGCAGTTTAATAGAGTTTACGTCACTGTTTCAATAAAAATCATGTAATAATAGGAACACAATAAGACTGAACACTGTCATCACATTATGATAAATATATAATTTAAATTCAGCTCGTCAGTCTCTCCCCCCCCCCCCCCCCACACTCAAACAGCCTATAAGCAGCAAAGTCAATTTCATCAAATTTTTTAAAATTTCACTGATAACTTTTTCCTATATTGACATAAAATTGTGTGCACATTTTAACTTTAGTTGCTAGAATATCCACATATCAAGGGCCATAATTTTGAAAGTAATTATTGGAACTCATTAACCAGCTGTTTTATCTGTGAAGCAAAAACTGTGTATATATTTCAAGTAAAACATACTACTAGAGCATCCACAAGATAAATAATGTGATGACCACCTAATTAGGTTGAATGGAATATATATTTAAACACCATTATTCTTCAACTAATGAGTAAATTTACACTGCCAGTTAGTTTATTGCTCATTTAAATATTCATGAATAAAATATAACATAATTTTACGACCCAAAGGAATATATCTTTAAAATAAAAATCGATTAAATTCCATGCACGTCTGTACCCCTAGATAGATGAAGACCACAGATACCATAACGGAAAAATGCAGCAGACGGAATCTAATGAATAAAGTAACTATTCCTTTACCACATGCACCCCTAATACATCACAGTTGACTTAATCAACATATTGCTTTCAAACACTTGATCCATTTACAGTTAGAGAGGGCACACTACCTGGGGGACTCATCATCAACGCAATATAGATCTTTTCAAATGCAACTATTCTCAAGAGAGTATACTGATATCGGTCGTCGTCAAGAACTTTAATATCATTCACCATGGTGGCAATTCCGATTCATGCATTCTACACATTGTTTGTATGAACTGGTCTGTGAATTAACTTCCAGAATAAAGATCATGGCTTGTTGATTGAGTCTTATCTTGAATATGGAAATTACCAAGGGAATTCCAATATTCAGATGTAGCCTGGATTTGACAGGTACATGTATATCATACTACAATATAGCATGACTCTCTGACATTTCAAAACTTGGCCAAACTGACAATTTTTGTATAATTTGATCACAATAATGCACGATTATTTCGGTTTTGTTATCTTAAACAAGTATTACACAAATAATCATTAAGTTCTATACTTGGTATAAAGGAGTTTTATCAGTTTCTGTACTCAGTATAATCAAATTCTATACTTAGTATATAAAGGAGTTTTATCAAATTCTATACTTGGTATAAAGGAGTTTGATCAAACAAGCGGTTGCCATGCAAGATATGCCCACATTTTGCAACAGATGCATTGAGAAGTCCGTAAAACGAATGTGTTCTGCAACTGTGTTCAAAAGAAAATCATTCTACCCAACTCTCTAATCAAATAATTAAAACAAGATGGACTACAGGTGTATTTATAATTTATATGTGTAAACGCCAAAACTTTTTCATAAAACAAAATTTGAATTGAAATAAAAGAGCCACACACTGTTTCGATAGACACGCCTGGCTGCCACTCCCTTGTACGAAATGATCTATTTCGATGAGTGGCGCAATTAGCTTCTATTTTGGTATTTCTCGATGTCAAAGTTTGTGAGGAGTTCAATTTTTCAAGAGAGAATCTTTTATTCGTTGGTATATTTAATTGTACAAAGGATTTTATTTAACTGGAGGTGATTTCAAACACACAGGCAAGTTTATAATAACCAAAATTCAGTAGTCTGTTCATAATCGAAGAAATACATTTAAAATTTAGGACGGTTCAGACAGTAATGGTCACAACCACTGAGATATAAAACTTTACCAAATCAACAAATTACACAAATTCACAAATATATAAAATCACTATCTTGGGTACCCTTGATCAATTTAGTGATGAACCACTATGATAATGAAGGTCTGTGTGGGTGTCGATGACCATTGTATGGAATCAATTATTAGCAAATTAACAGCCACAATCCATTATTGTTAATAGAAATTTATTATTTATGTAACTGAGTGACAGGCTGACATATGTGACAATAGATTCATAAAGTAAGACCTACAATATCAAGCAGAAGACATTCGGACCACTAGACTTGTTTAGAATATAGACATAATCTTACTTTGTAAATTTAGTTTTGAAAAAGTTTTAGTTTCGATTTACTTAAAACTTCCTTAATCTTTTTATTAAGTGTTGCCCGGTTATTGGGTCTTTTATAATTAGCATAGCCTTGAATATGAAATGAAATGGGGTTTAACGTCCTATTGTTCTGTCTAACTGGGCTAATGAAGACGGCATAGCCTCACATAGAAATGGACAGAGTTAGCTACTGACCACAGTGACCAGTAGCAATAATAGGATACATAAAATGGACCAATTGTCTTGAGATTTCAAGAGATGATCTGAATTTAGACGCAAAATCAAACCTGGTCTTGTTACAAGACTATAAAGGTGAACTGCCCCTTTAATAAAATCTTCATTTTCATTTTTCGGACAATATCTAATCTTTCACATAATAATCCACCCTGAACAGAGACTTAAAGCATTGTAATTATTGTAAATAAACTAACACTGTTTAATCTTCTTCTCACTCTCCATCAACATGTAGGTCAATTCACTACTTTCTTTGTCATGATTGTAAGTAACAAGAGACCAATTTCTACAAGTATAAAACAGACACAAGGTTTTACTTACCTTTTCATAAGGTGCTATTTGTGATTGAAGATCCTCCAATTTGGCCCGTAATTCACTTTCTCTTTCTAGTTGATAATGTTCAAGATTTAAAGTGGAATAAAGCTGAGTGACAAGATTTTTAACATCTGATAAATTCTCTAGGTCTTCACTAACCATAGCCTCTGTAGAATAAAAAAAAAACAACAGTTAACAGATTGGAACACATTCTAAATACCTCATATTTTCACATGATCTGCTTATGAGTATTTCCAGTGTTACTGTTTGAATTGTAAGGGTATTTTGTAAAACGGATAAAATTTAATTCAAAGACAGGAGTCTGTGGATTTCAACACAAACATTTGTTAGCCGAACAGTGTTTTTGAAATGAAAATATCGCGAACATTGTTCAGCCAACAAATATTTGTGTTGAAATCCTACGCAGACCCGCCAACTTTTGTCGGAAAACACTGTTTGGCTAACAATGTCAGTCAGTCTGCGATGGACTTTAAGAAGTAAATTTTATAAAGGTGATTTAGTCAGGAGAGTAGACATGGAAGGGCAATGGTGACAAATGACCGATTTTCAATATGATCAACTTCATCTCCACCTCCACATAGATATAAAAATAGATTCTTATGGATTGGATTCTCTGTAAAATGTCTTGTACCGTATCTATTTCACCCAATTTTATTTTGTAATCTTACCAATTTCCTTTTCCACTAAATGGCTCATAAATTTACTTAGTCATCAGTTTTAGCTTGACTTGTCAATTTTTCATTAACTGTCCATTTAATCCTCTATAAATTGCTAGATGACTGGAAAAACTTGAATAGCCTCTTTCATGACTGAAGATTCGCACTGTCAATTCTAGTGCCGGTAAACAGAGAGGAAAAACGTATACTGTAGCAAGTTTTTGTCTTTCAGCTGAGAAATCACTTGCCAAGATCAATGAGTTTCAATTCGTTTGAGTTTCAATTCCAAAGTTTGCAGGAATTATAGAGGCAAAATATTTAATAAATATTAAAAAAAAAAGATTTAAGATGAAACGAGTCAGATTTAAAGAAATATTATCATTTGCATTTTATCAAAGAATTGCATATTCTTGGTTTTCCCAAAAAAACAAAACATGTCTTTACTGCAACTGTACAAAAAAATAAAATATCGCTTGTTATAGAGTAGTAGAAAAATTGCCTTCAAAACAATATGAGAAATGACAAGTAAAAAATATGCTGTTCAACTGTAGCTATCACAAATTATAGCTACCATTATATGTGTCAATTACTATGATTATAAGGTGTTAACACACTAGTTAAGTGTCATAAGGTAGGCTAATTGTTGGTTTTATAGTGTAAATTAACATGTATTATGTTGTCTACAGGATACAAACAAACTACCAATCATGTAGAATACTGTCCTGTTCATGTCATTATACTTCTAGACATTGATTAGCTACAGATCCATAGCTCTAATCTGAGAAGTAAAGCCCTCAGGTATAAGGGCTTTAAAAATCACTGACTGCCATTTGAGTGATTTTTACGGTGGCTGATTTAGGACACGCAAAAAAAAAAAAAAAAAAAAAAAACCTCGAAAAATAGTGATATTAAGTCGAGTGCTCAAGATACTAAGTCGATTGCTCGAGATAGTTAAGTCTAGCGCTCAAGATAGTTAAGTTGAGCGCTCGAGACAATTAAGTCGAGAGCTCGAGATAATACAATCGAACATGTCTCAACCGATGTTTTAAGCTGTCTAATTTTGTACATTATTTAATGATAAACTTGCAGAATAAAGATATTCATTTGTTCGTTTTTACAGCCCATCCAAAGCTGCAGTGAAGGAGCGGATACCCCCCCCCCCCCCAACACCCACTCAATCCAATGCTCATCACCAGCAACAAAATATATGGTTGACTTTCATCGTGGATGATACACAAGCAAGATTTCATAAAAAATTTTCCTAGAAAACCATTTCAAAGTGAAGAACTTTTTTGCCTCTGCGAATACATTCTAGTGCGCACCAAGGTTAGAAGACTGTAATAATCATATAACACACGAATAACCCTTCAGAACACATTATTAATTTGCATACATGCAGCCCTACAGATTCTTAAATTTTTACTAACACAGCCAGCTGTACAAAATCTGAGGTACCAGTACTAATAACACTAACAAGACTTCACCTTGTTAACTCTGAAGTATGAATTTCAAATCCATTTATTTTCTCATTAAGGATAAATTGAACAGAATTCTATTACATTCAAACATCAGCACTGAACATTAATTTGATATTTCTGCTAAAAGAGTTTCTTCAAAATTGCTGATAAGTGATAAATCGATTTTTAAGTTAACTATGTTCATATGCCATGGAATAAAATCTCATTTATACCAGAATCCAAAAAACAGTTTTCTAAATTATTTCCGAGAAAGTATATTTTTTGGTAATCACTTTTCTGCAATATGCTGTTAAAACTTGAAAATATATTTGTCTGGATATTAAGTTCAGGATAAATGTCAAGTTCTTCTACTTTGTATTTCTTTTCGAACATAGGGTGTAGTCTTATTTATAAAGCAAACCATTCTTTTAGTGATTAACGTTGTAATGAGCCCGATTTCAGTTTTTTGTCGGTTATTTATGTAAAATCAATGGCAACATATTGATCAAATGAAGTCGGCTGTCACCCATGTTTTAAGATGAGATCACAATATTCATGAGTCTTTAATAGCCTCTTCTTGCTTTGCTTACAAGATCAACACATTAAAGTCTTGCGCATAGCTATAGTACAGTATGAGAAAATACTAACAAATAATGACAACCTGTCAGTTTTAATCACTATTTGTCATGTTTATGTTTGAGAATTCCGTCAGTATGAAAATTGAAATTTCCGCATACAAAACTTCTATGTTTAACACTTTCTTTCAGCAGTCTAACAAATTTTCACACACAAAACCCCTGGGCATTTTCATAAATGACTGCAAGTAAGCCTCATTACTGAGGATATTCCGGTCTTATTTTCAAAATAAGAAAATTCATGCTCAGATATTATATGCAGTTTAAAGGGTTAAACTAGATGAGTTAACTTCCCATTTAAATCTAAGAATTCCCTTATCAATAATGGATTTTGTTAGGGACAGAGGCATCTGTTCATGAAATGGTCAATGTAATAACCTGTTATTTGATCATCAAAATTTAAAGTACATGTTCATCACTCTTAATTAGAATCAAAGTTGTTGTGTTCCAAAAAAAGAGTCTTGACCAATGAAATTATTTATCGCTACTTAGCCAGCGCAGAAAATGCTCATCACTGAATTTAGTCGAATTATTGATGTAATGAAACTATACACCAAGTTTCATCATTCACATTCAATTACATTCAAAGTTATCGTGCTCCAAAGTTTCGAATGCTGATCACTCTACTGAAACTGAGTCGAAAATGGTCAAACCAAACTTAGTCAAGGTATTAATATAATGAAACAGTACAGCAAGTTTCATCACTCTCACTCTCAATCAGAATCAATCTACCAATCGATTATCTCTGTTTATCCTAAGCAGAGTATGCTCAACATCAAACTCCATCAAAATATTCACCTAATATAAATAAACACTGAGCTCAATACATGTAAGAAGCAGAGTTATTCAATTGTGTCCCCAAAATTTGACAGATGGTCAAGCCGACGGACACATTTTGAGAGGCCAGGGAGAAAAAACTAAATTCCAAATACAAATAAATTTGGTCAGTTAATGAAAGCACCACATAGTAGAAACTAAGTCATTTCGGGACTAACATATGGTTTAATTTTATTTCAATAATTCGCTTGCGCGTAGGGGTCTTTAGCAGTGGGACCCGGAGAAAACCCACGAGGTTGGACAGGCGACGAGGTTGGACAGGCGACCTTACTCCTTGTCACATACAACCGGGGATTCGAAACCACGCCAGTCGACTCAATGACAGACTTTATGATACAGCGCCCGCACGCTAACTATTCAGCCATCCAACCCCCCCTTGGAAACCTGGATAAATATGACTAATTACTATAGATGCAAATTTCACAAGCATTTTGTTGAAATCAGAAGAAGTAATGTATACCCTACATTTATATTAACATTAACAAGACAGTTTATGAAGCAATGGAAATTTATTACCAAACTTTATATCATTTTAAGTGGGTAATAATGAACTAAAAACATCATTTATGTTGCATCGCATGGGTTCAATCAACCTTCTATTGTGTACTTGCTACTTCTGTACTACATGTATAGCCAGAAGACCTTTATGGACAATTTAAAAAATAGAGATTGAAATTAATGTTTACATCCAATTTCTCTCTGTCAAATACAGCCCTACATGTATACAATATGATAACTACATGTACCGGTATACAGATTTATTTTAAAAGTCTAAGTTTTCACTGGGTCTCCAAGAAAAATAAAAAATGTGAAGAAATAGATTTTTTTCCCAGTGTACGAAATTGAGAAATCTGCAATGTATGTTGGTCCATTCCACAACCGATAAAGCTAGACAGACTTGTCTATCGTCTAACAATAATTATCTGGACAACAAGTTTGAGCACATGGTTTCCACCAAGCTTCATCAAGTGGTCATTCTGTACAAACTGTTAGTGTTACAATGTAACTGGAACATTATTTTGCCATGTCAAAATGATTCCATAAAGGTGATGATTTACTATCATTTAATATTGGAATTTAATTTTCTTATTGGTAATACATCAGTTTAAAGGGTATTCGTAATATGCGATATTCATAAATCAGTAATATTTGTTCACTAAGCATACTAGATAACTCCTATAAATCTTAGTAAAAGAGAGAAATAAACCAGTATTTTATACTCTATATTATAACCTAATAACTATTTCCCCCAACAGACAGATTATTTATATTGCCACACGGGCTTTGATGGTATTAGCTGCCTAAGACGAGGATTTCTTAAGGAAGAAAGAGAGTTTACGTAAGAATCCATCAATCGCCTTAAATGTAATTATGAAATTATCACACAAAATCGTCATTTGTTACGCTATCAATTTCTACTGTGCAAACTTCAGATTTGTAATAGTTTTGGGTCAACCCCCGAGGTGAACAAGAGCATCGCTAATGCTGCAATATACGTCCACAATTCTGTTTGGATTGATATGGTACTTTTTAAAATAAAGAGAATGAAATATGAAATGGC